TCTCCAGTCGTCTCTGTGCCTATCCGCTATGGTGTCCCTCCGCTCGTACTCGGGGGAGCGTCGCCTCGTCGCTTCTCGTCGTCCGCTCGAGGTACTCGTCTTTAGAGCCTCCTGCAGCTCTGTCGCAACTGGTTCACCTCTCATGTCGGGCCCTCCGTCATTGGTTTGGTCAGCCCATCTCAGCGGTGCTTCTTGCCTAATTCGTTCCTTTAGATCCCTCAGTGCTCGATCGGGCGATGCCCTGTACTCTTCTCCCGCTTCGCCCGTGGTCGGTTGTGGCCCCATCGTGTCGGGTTCCATTGGACCGCCAGAAGATGCGGTTGGGTATTCTAGCCAACTGTTACAGCCCGACCCTATGTCAGTCACTGCAGCCCTCACCTGTGACAGTCGCAGCAGCCCGGTCCAGTCTCTTTGTCACGACTCGCGTCCGCCTCCAATCTTAGCTCTCGACTGCCTTGATTACCACCTCCAGTATCCCGTTCCGGTCGCAGATCTCGTGTTCTCTCTCTATCCCAAGAATCCCTGTGTCTAAGTAACCTCTCCTTCGGGATCGGGCAACAAGGTCGTGCCTGTCCGGATCCACAGTACGCCCGTGACAGGACGTCTACACTCGAGACAGATTGCAATCCCAAACCTAGCCAACGTCTCCTGATCAACGCTTCTCAAGAGTCCCCAAGCGTCTCTCTCCGTCCTTCTTGCTAGTTCTTCTAGCCCTGTCTGAGTCGGTTAGCCCGCTAAAGGCCCTCCTACTGTCGCCCAATGTCGCCCCCCGACCTTTCTAGCTTCCTCTATCCTTCCAAGAGCTTCCAATTTTTATTTCCACTACCTTATCTCCTCAACGGTTACGAGGTCATCTGTCTAACAGTTGAGGTAAGTTAGTGCTATAACGACTTGTAACCTCATCGCCGACCGCTCCAATATGTCATAATATGTCTCAAAGTCCTCATTATCTCCTCCTTCGTCTATCGCCTCTAAAGTCTTYATCGTTTCCTTCCAGTACCGGTTGTGAGCGGCTAACACCCTGAGTATTGCACCATCTGTTACAACTCTCCCTAACTCTCCAGCTTTCCTGGCTTCGCTTATCTTCAACCTTTCAGCCTCTCTGGTCGTCTCGTACCATGCCCTTATCCGAGACCGCCCTTCGAAGGGTGTTACTCGGAGTACGTATTTTATCCTCCGTCCTCCTTGTATTCCAATCCAAAGTCCTGTCCCCCTTGCCTCACGCAGGGCACGGCGGAAACACTCTGCCTCCTCAACTATGCACAGTCTGGTATGAAGCTGGAGTTCTATGATCACTAACACTAATGGTCCACCCAGTCTCCCTACCACATGTAATGAGTACCAATCCGTCGTGTGTAGTGCAGTCCCACTCATGTCCTGTCGCTACTCCCCCGCGTTACTTTGTCTTCCGTTGTCTCGCTCTCTGCAGATCGTTTACTAGTTTCTTCGCGTGATACGCTTCTAGCCTTTACCCTCTCCAGAAAGTCTAATCTCCACGCCTGGATAATCTCTCTTTCTTCCCTAAACAGATTGTCTAACTCTCTTGTCACGAGTTCAGCCCTTCGCAACTTGCCCT